AAATATACTCTATTTATCTTCTTATGAGCTCCAGATGAATATATGTTCGTTCATTGACTACTAAATAACAATAAATTTCGAATTATTTATCTGTTGTACTATTCTGTCTTCTAACAATTGATCTTTTCATCAGTATTAGTAATAGGAATAACCATTTTAATAACTAGATAAAATCGTCATCGTTGATTTAGTATTTAAATGTTCTAGTTCTTAATGGGAAAATATTTTTCACTACCATATCTAGTCTTTAATTTGTAAAATAACTATAATCAGTACTTTCCCAGTCTAATTACTGTGAAGTTTCAAAATTGATTGATCATTGAGTGGTGATCAATGTCATGTGAGTTAGATCTTTCTTAGTGCAACTTGGTCGATAGCATTCGATCACCACTCATTGATCAATCAATCGTAAATGCATCTCAGTCCTACAGGAGGTCAGTCGCAGCCCGGATAGCCTAGTGGTAATGTCTCTGACTGTGAAGCTGGATGATACGGCATTGAATACGTCAGGAAGCACCAGTTCCCTCAAGACTGCAGGTACACCTTGCTGACGAGTGCCAAATAACACGAAGCCCGGGTTCAGGGTTTCTTTTTGACTATCTCCAACCACCATCTTATACCGTGAAGGTTTTTTCATTTCATGAATTGATATTAGTTGAGAAATTCCTGTGAATCAGAATGTGATGCTCCGAGTCTTTTTTTTCTAATGATTTAAAAATCTTCAGCATTCGATCGATCATATGAGTAATAAACCTTCAGTTTTTATATAAAACAGCAAATAATTAAATTACGGAAAGTGTGAACAAATAAAATACAAAGCATTTTTGTCAACAAAGATTATGTTAAAATCAGAAGAGGACTCTTCAGCAGCTTCAACTCACTCATGGTCTCAAGTATTTGAAAAAAAAGAATATATTATCAAATTGGTTACTTATTCTCTGAAGAAGTGACTTACACTAAGTCACGAAACGTTAGAAAATCCAATTTTCTACTAATTAGGATATTACAAATATATTATTTTTATTTACATTATCAAATTATTCATTTTAGTCACTGTGAAAAAATGGATCATTAATGTAAATGAATTTCATGGTGATTAAAGCAAATGATAAACCATTAGTTATGATTAATTTGTCATTTGAAAAAAAATGCTTTGTTAATACTTTCGTAGTTGAGTAATTTCAAAGTGATAAAGAACACATTCTGATAGCACTGTCAAATTGATTTGACTTTTGATTATTAGATTTTGATAGTGTTTACTGTAACATATTGACTCATTTAACATAAACAACTGGATGTGATTAAAAATCTCATATAAGATCTTATTTGTATTTGTTAGATTATGTTTATTTCATCAAACATATTCGAAACCAGTGAATCTAAATTTTCTTCTAAGAATACACTAGTCTTTAATCTTTGACAAAGATGGGATCGGTTTCATTGATATTATAACTTTACAACGTTTGCATGAACAATACTTGATTCTTAATTACATAGAAGTTCCAAGCTTATATTATACATTAATTTATAATACATACTTCGTTTCTATATATATATTATTTATTTAAGGCGCATAATAGAGAAAACCAATATAAATCAAGAATCGCTAGACTAGAAACAGTCCTTGAGTCACAAGAGCATGATGCTGAGCAATTAACTCATCAAATCTCTTTAACACATGCTAAAGAATCTCGTTTAGCCGAAGAAAGAGCCAATCTTCGGGTAGAATTACAAGAACAAAGAGATGAAATAGAAAAATTATATTCTGAAAAATCCTTAACACAATCTGAATTAGAACAAGCACGAGAATCTACAATGCGCGCTGAGACAGCTAGATCACGACTGGAAGCTGAATTGGGTGACTTGGCTCGAGAAAGGATGACACTTACAGAATCATTATCTGAGGCTCAGAGACAAAAGGCATCTTTAATGGAAGACGTATCAACATTCCGAAGAGATTCTGAACGTCAGGAAGCCTTAATCATGAGACTAACAAATGAAAAAGAAGCTATATCAAGACATAAAGCAGAATTACTTCTTCAGGTAAGATAAGTGACTATCGAACATCATATACTTTAATAGGCAACATTTTAATGTAATTTAAAAATTGAAATTTGACATAGATGTAAACATAGTTTTTTCTAACCGCTAGTAGAACAGATTTGATTAACTGAGATTAAAATTTTTATTTCGTACAATCGAAGAACTTTTTTGAAAGTCCTTGAAGAGGTGTGTTGTTATTTTCGTAATGAAATAACAGTTTGAATTACCTGACATCACGTTTACTACTGTGTTCATCACCCTATGTTGCTTCCAATTATATTTAAAGTAAATATTAAGATTAACGACTCGAGATAATATTGGCACAAATCAAAGAAACCATTTAGGGAATTTGACTGAATCTTTTGATAGCAGATAAAAATCTCAAAAATGGTGATGTCATAAGTATTCGGAAAATATTTATACATCAATAATCAGTACTAGTGCGTTAAACATGAAGGAATTTTATCACGATACGGCTGCTGTTATATTCTCTCTATCTCATGAACAGTGTACTTTCGTCAAACTATAATAAAGATCCCAATTATCAAAATTGTCATAAATTACCATGCACTATTTATTAAATATCGATTAGCTTCCATTAAGCAGAGATATGTTAGTGCATACATATCTAGAAATTGAGTAAACTAACCTGAATGAGTTGTCAGATGGTGGAGATGATTTGTAGCTCAGGTGGATGATTTTGTTGAAGTTTTGTTCTCTGAGCTGGATGGTTGTTACGGTACAAAAAATCAAATGTAAGTATACTAATATCATTTTTTATCTACATTTTAATGACTGAAAATTACTATCAGTGGAACAAACCTAATTGAAAGTTAAACTGTAAAACGTTTGACGAAATGGTTATTATATCATACCACTTTAATAAATAATGTTTCTTCATAAATCTGACCATTTTTCAAGTGAAATAGTTCACTTAATGACGAACATACAATTATTTTGATAACAACATAATAGACAAAAATAACGGCGATTCACATGATGTATAAAAGATTGTTACTTGGAAGTATTATTGTAATGCAGTACAAATAAGCGAAAATAATTTTTATTTTAGTACAGTAATAATGTGGTGTGTGCTACTGATATCGACAGATATTAGTAGTATTTAGCATCGATCGAAAGTCAAATACCTAGAGGTAGAAGGTTAAGAATATCGAGGAAAAGAAAATGAGAACAGAGAATGATTGGTGTTAAAATGAAGAAACAATAAAGTCTTAGACGACTAACTGATATTTGCCAAATAAAGTATTTACTGTATAGTTCTCAGATTTTACCAAGATTTGGTTCTCCCCACTTGTGTCCTCATTCACTACACTAATACATACAAATTTTAACCAACATATTTTTAAAAAGTGTTTATTCCTAATCTTTTACATATCAACACATTTACAAAATATCATATGAATACATAATATCTGTTGTAGTGTAAGAAAATGTTTACTATCATGGTTAAATATTGTACATTCTGAATATGTCACATTTCAATGAGTTCTTCTGCTCAATTTTAACTTTATAAATTTCTTTGATCAAAATATAAAATTGTAAATTTTCATCAGTATGGAATGGATCCTGGATTCACACTGCTGTAGAGTCCCACAATAGGACGAAACGGCCGTCCAGTGTTCCATGGTTTTCAATGATGGTCTAACATTAATCGGTTCATGATCTCAATATAAATGTTCACATCCAGACATTACATGAATAAATAATGAAGGAAATATTGTCAAAATTAATGAACAATTCAAACATCTATCAAATAAATTCAAAATATCCCTATGAATTAAGTTAATCTGTCCTTATCACTTACAATTCTATGTTAAAGCCTAGAGATATTTTTCTGATCATATATTTCAATAACTAGTATTAATAGTATTGACATTAGCTTAGTTGAGAAGAAATGAACAAATAAAAACCTATAAAGACCTAATGCAACTAAATTCACATTGATTCATTTTCATCTTCCCATTAATGTTTAAGACTGTAATTGATCAGTTTCATATCATAATCAATTGCAAACCTAAACATTAATGGGATAATCCAAACAAACAATACAAAAGTGAATTAAAACTTGACGGAATTGCATAAACTAGTGACTATTTGGCCTCAGTAACTAAGTGGATAACGCAATAGCATTTTAAGCGAATGTTTCTAGGTTCGAGTTCCGAAGTGAATATCAAATCTGAGATACAGGTATATCCAATTGACGCGTGACAATTAGGACAAAACTCGTGTCCTATATTCCAATGCTAACCACCATTCATCTCTGCTTATAATAAATTTATATTGATTTTGTAATAGGAGAACCTCTTGGTCAATTACATAAAAATATTTCTCATCTATTTGTTACTAACTTTCCAAAAAGCTAATTTCTTTTTTTTTCTCCTTATTCACTTGTTACACTTATTGAATTGACTGTTTTACATTTCTAATCTTCATTAATATCAAGTTATCAATTATTGAACGAGATAATCGACATCTTACAGAAATAATTAATACATTGAAATCAGAGAAAGAAAATTTAGAATCTAGTTTATTTGATATGCAACAAACAATTGAACAATTATATTATAAACAATCTCAATTAGAAAGAGATGTATCAGATTTAAAAAATCGTCGAGATGAATTACAAGGTATTAAAATGTTTATATCTTTTAAAAAATTATATATTTTTGTTATAAACTTCTTACGGTTATGACCCAGATATTCCTATTGCTTAGTATTCTCGGACACCGATTCACACGACAAGTCCCCAAATCAGAACACGGTTGAACAGGAAAGAGATTATATTCCTAATAACAAGGTTAGATGGAAGTAAGATGTCAGTAAGAAGCACAATAGAGAAAACGTCAGTATATTTATAGTTTTTACATGAGAAGATTCTAGAGTATTCTCCAACTATCGACTAGTGCTGATTGGATAAGAATTAGCCAATCAGCGTGCACCAAAGCAATCATGCATCGAGCATGCTTTAATCCAGTCTATGTCCCGCTAACAATTTTCTATTTTATAATTTTGTGTAAAATTTATGCTAAAGTAATTGAATATTATTGTAAAGAATCTTATTTGATATTAATCAATGTTTATTTTTCAAAGACCTTAACTGAAAATCTTTGTTTCGATTAATAGATTACAGCGTAATCCGATCTAGATGACTTGATTCAGATACTGTGATAGGTTGTGCTGGAGTTGTATTTTAATGAATAAAACATTATAGGATCCATAAAAAACAGCTATCGTCTTTTTTTAGGTCCAAAGGCGGCCTGCTTGAATATCTGGGCTACCTGTTCCTCCGATCTACATATTTCATCAAGTTATCTGTTTTATTGTTTGTTTTAGCACATCATTATGCCTATTGTGCACACAATCTATTCAGGCGCGTTTATGAAAAGTTTACAACCTTTCACTATAAGGGATACAAAAAGGTACAATCAGCGACATCATGGTGGCTGGCAATATGCATTTAAACGAATGAATATTAATCAAATGTGGATTACCGAACTCCTAACATGTAACTGGTCATCATTCCAAATTTATCGTCACAATCGATCAAGATATAAGAAAAGGAAACTTGTTGAAATAGTTTATGCTGAGAATTCTATGTTGTACCAAAAATATAATGTTGAATAAAGCTTCTAATAATAATAAAAAAATGAAAAAATAATATTATATGTAGATCATTCATCGATTTAATCTATACCCACTATAAGCCTAAATATATATTAAATTTGATCTAATTGAAAGAGAAAAAGCTTCACATGAATGAAATGTTGATTAGTTAATTAGTTATCATTAGTTTCTATCTTATGAAGTAATTTTTTTCGAATAGGTAGATTAAATGAATGTTTATTATGATCTTAGATTGCTAATACCATATCTTTCCGATTACTGCTTATACTCTTACTACTTCTATCGCGACGGGATTTGAATCGACAATTACATCTCTGTGCTAATGTGGTATGGCGACTCGAACTGATGTACGTACGTACGAAGTTCTACGTTATTACTGACTGACTGACTATAAGAATATGTATAACACATAGTTCAACCACACTTGAAATTTTTATTGCTTAACTTTTAGTGATTAAGTAAACCTTCTTTTTTGTTAGTTTGATCTTATTTATTTGAATAGATTGTACTAATGTTTCTACCTTTCACTGATTGTCTGAATTCTTTTCAAGACAAATGATTGGTATGATAATTATTTATCGAAATAAATTGTGTTTTTATTTTAGCTGAACTATGTCGTGCTCATAGTAATTTTCAAATTGAACTAGAAAAATCTGAACGTAATAGTAAAAAAGTAGGTGATCAACTGACAAATGAATTAGAAGATTTACGTGTAGCATTAATAAATGCTGAAAAACGTGCTGAAGAAGCTGAAAAGGCATGTTTACAAGCTGTGGAAAGAGCAGATCAAGCTGTAAATCTTATTGATAAACAACAGCATGTGGATGTGGAACAATTAGTTAATAGAGAATATGAATTACGTAGTTCTGCTGAAGAAATGAATAGACTTACTAAAGAATTATTAACTGCTCAAAGGTAAGCATTGTTATATTCTAATGATGAGCATATTATATGAGATTCATAGCATTGGTCTGTGAAGTAAGTACAAACTACCTGGTTAGGATCTGCGTGATTATCGTAACCAATGGTTGGAGACTAGCTGACACAACTGAAAATCGTTTGCGATGGGGCAGATGCATTCATTCTTTGTCTTCCCCCAAATTTTGAGCTTCTAAATTTCTCATAACGTCTTTTGTTTTTATTTCACTAGTTTATATTTTCTTCTCGAATTGTATGATTTTCCCGAATTTTTCTACTACCACTGATATTATTACTACCTCCATTCTAGGATTTGACCTGCTGATTTCACCTCTCTGTGCTTACGGGGTATGACAACTTGAACTGATTTACATTTGTACCAGGTCCTACGTTGCGACTGACTGACTACATAAGACTGGTTCCCATAAAATGACTTTACGAGGAAAGGGAGAAACATTGTTCTCCTTTTGATAAATAGTTGATTTGCTTATCATACATTATAGATATAACGAAGTATTGTTTTTTGGAATTGACTTTAATTAGATATGTTCCTATGATCTACTCTAGTTATGTACAATACAGAATCAACAATCCTTTTTCAGCAAATTTTGGTGGCATTTTGTTCTCTGAGCTGGATGGTTTGTTCATGGAGTTTCATCGTTATTCTGAGCGGCATCATCAATACAAATGTCAGGGAGATTTAAGTGTTCGAATTTCTCCACATATAGCTCGAAGCTTGTCCTGTAGACCTCGATCTCGATTGGTTATTGTTTACCTTCAACCTGTCATTGTTTATTTCTTTGTTTTGGTTGTATCTCCCATTGATTTGATTTTTCGTCCCACATCTGTCCATAATTTTTCTGACTGGTTGGTAAATTGGATCAATTTCAATGTGTTTGTTGATTGTTGATTGACCTGAGTGCCAAACTTCTAAAAATTCTCTGATGTTCTTATAATTGCTTCTATCCAAGATCTCAACATATTTTCCAGTTGATTATGTGTCCACCGTTGCCCATATGCATTGATATATCCTCGCTTACATCATTTCATGTGGAAAATTGTGGATGATCTTAACCAACTGCAAGCCCTATGTAACTAAGGTTCGTTCATGTCAGTTCGTACTAGTATTATGTATTTAGGATCTTCAAATAGCACATGATTCTTCAAACAAGGTAATCTTTCAGCTAAGAAATTTAGTACCAAGTTCCAGTAAACGCATTATCTAAATGTAGAGCATTTTACCGATTGCATCTAGTCATTCAAGATTAAACACATTGTACATGGTACATACTCAATAGACTTAAATGTATACAAATTGTGGGTCTGTTACTTGGTAGCTTGAAAACTTCGACTTCAGTCAGTGGGTCTCAGGTAAAAAGCTTGTTTAGGCCACCTACGCTTTAACAACCTTGCAGTATAATTAGATCCTTCACAAACAGTATAATTAAAAGTTAAGTACACAAAAATTTAAAGCAATAGGTTGAACAAATAGGAAACAATTGGTGTGTAACAGACCTATCTTCTTACTATTGATCTTGTCACTACATAAATTGACCAACAATGTTTAAGATATCGAGATTTCAATTAGTACGCTGTACACTATTATAATTTTATTTATTCTAATATCTAAAAATCAGTAATGTAAGAATAATCATGTTATTTAAATATTGCAATGCTTTAGAATACAATTGAATCTGATGAAGTAGAACATATGTTTAATTAATAACTTCATTTTTTGATGAAGTCGTCTGTAGTCAATTTTTTTTATAACTTTGAATTAACCTATCTTAAACATTTCCTCATTTATTATAAGGGAAAGAGATGAAGCTCGTTTACTTGCAGAACGAGAACGTCAACGTGAACTATCCAGAGCAACGGAAGAAAAAGTTGGCCTTCAAGAGAAAGTTAATGCTTTACAAGAAACTGTACGTTATTCTATGAACGTGCATATAATTGATCATGGAATTTTTCATTGTATTTATTTAGCCTACTTTGAACAAAAACATAATTATTAACTGAATATCTGAACAAAATAATATGAAACATGATGTGGTATAGACATGATATTCCTTTCCATCTGATACCGTTATATGATGTGTTAATTATGAAGATTTATCTGCAGTCAGTATTCTTTCGATTATTAGCTTTCCATAAATTACTGATGTATTTGAGAATTAATTTTTTTCCAATAATTAAAATTCTGATTTATATATATATGCTGTACCACAGAAACGAACAGTAAATACCTTCCCAACAGTACACCTGGTTAACACGGGATACTATGTTAAAATAAAACATTTATCCAAAGTTCCCTAGTTTTTGATCTCACCCCAACTGAAATAATCGTTTTTTTATTCTTAACAGATTACTGAATTACAGATCACACTAGAAAGAACACAGAAGGATGCAAGTGTTCGAGAAGATCGCGAGAGGTCGGCATTGAGAAAAGCTACTGAAGAGGTTAGGAGCTTTAGAAATCAATTGCAAGAAGCATGGTTAGTTTTCATTTCACATTATTTTATCTCACTCCTGTATTACTTAAACATCAAGTTGTTCCCTTAAATTTCACTGAAACTTGTAATATGTACCAGTAACTAAAAATCTCTACTCAAATATTAACACATAAAGAAAAAAATTTGCTTAAGTAAAGCAAGTTGATAGATATATTATTTTACTGAAGATTAAGTTATTGTGTCGAAGTAAAGTTGCTAAACGTCTGGAAACTTTCCCAAAATGAAATACACTGAACTATTGACCCATATTTTTCTTTCTTTTCGTCAAAATAAGTGCCTTCAAACTAAAGTTTGTCTACAAGTCAGTCAGTCAGTAACAACGTAGAATTTCGCACGTACGTACATCAGTTCGAGTTGCCATACCACATTAGCACAGAGATGCAGTTGTCGATTCAAATCCCGTAGTGCTAGAGGTAGTAAGAGCATAAGCAGTAATCGGAAAGATTAGAGTTTGGAGATGTTAGTTAAGGAGTGTAATCCAATGAAATAAATTTGGGAAAAGAAAAAAAGAGACGAGGAATCAGATTAGAATTTGGGAGAACACAAAGAGTGTATGCACCTGCGCCATCGCAAACGATTTCGAGCCATGTCATTCAGGGTCTCTAACCATCGTTTGCTATCATCTCGCGGTCCCCAACCAAGTAGTCTATACCTACCAACTTGACTCAGTCCACTTGTCAGTGACTTCATGGACTTGTACCATGTTTTGGTCTGGCCGCCCCTAGCTATTAATTAAACTTTTCTACAGCCACTTCAATATTATCATTAAACACTTTAGCGTATATTCATTTTTATTTAAATAAATGGTCTATTAAAGTATCGTCTACTCTTCCTTATATACAACTGTCTATAAACACATATGAGCAGGTAACAAAGAAAGTGGGATATTATGAATTTGTCAATCCGGTTATAAAAATTATGTTTTAGCATGTGTTAGCTTGACTATTCACAGTTACTTGACACTCCTATGTATGATTGTTCAATGTTAAATCTTTTGTTTCCGAACAGAACGTTTTTATGAAGTTACCTTATCTTTACAAACTTTTATAATTTTCTACTCGTACCCGTTAAATACTTATGTACCATATTGTGAGAATTATGTCAAATGATACGAAGTTTCTAACTAAAATACAAGTTATCGTTGATATTCCAGTCAATCCATTGAGTAATTTTTTTTTGTTTAGAACATAATGTTAATTAATTTGTGATTGCTCTTTTTTATTCTGTGATCAAAAAGATCAAATTTGTATAGTTATGGAAAGCACTGTCATTGTTTTTTTTTTCATTACTGAACTTGATTATTTGATAATAATATTAGAAGACGAAGATTATCAGAACTACGTGATATATTAGCGCAATACATTTCGAACAATCTGGTCACATATATACTTGTTAAGAGCATTTATATATAGTTGACCTTTTATTTTTATATATAAATGCTCTTAACAAGAATATGTGTGACCAGATTGTTCGAAATGTATTACGCTAATATATCACATAGTTCTGATAATCTTCGTCTTCTAATATTATTATCGAAATTTATCAAAGGGACTAATTGTTTTATATTTGATAAT